CCCCTCATAAGCAGTGTTAGTATTTTTTCAGGGGGATGGGGGCAAAGGCCTCTACAATATCAGCTATACTTTTCAGTTTCAGTGCACAACTACGGAGAAAGAAAATCAGGAGAGGGAGGAAGGTGGAGGGACACGAGGACAAGTGGTGACTCAGGATGGATTCTGGATGTTTCCTGGAGGATAAGGAGATGGGGAGTGAGTGGACTCCCTGAGGTTTCCCAAGGTTTGCACCCTGAGTTGGACAAGTGTCCAGATGGATAGGTGTCCAGAAAAGGCAGTTTGGGGTGGGATGCGGGTTGATTTGGGATATTTTAAAAGAATGACATTGTGCTTAGAATGTCAAGCAGATGCTAGAGACAAAATGGTGCTCAAGAGGAGCACTGCAAGCTGCGGGAGGAACTTGGAAGTTGGGGCGGATTAAGTGAAAAGGCCCTGGGAGATGGGAAGGCTGGCGGGAGGCCACAGAGGGAGCAGGAAGCTCCAGGAGGTGGGGCGAAAACATCAAGAAGTCGGGGAGCAAATTGGTGGTTGCATAAGGGGTCACTGGGTTGGGTGTGGGGTTTCTTTTAGGGGTGATGAAATTTTCTAAAATTGACTGTGGTGATGTCTCATAACTCTATGTATGGATTAAAACATTGAATTATACACAGTAACTGGATGAACTGTATGGTGCATGAATTCTGTCTCAACAAAAACTGTTATTAAAATAAGGCGACCCCAGGTTTAGCACCAAGAAGGCTTCAGTGGAGCCAGACAGGAGTGGTCTTGGGGTGATGCGGGGAAGACCTTGGAATGGGGTGAGTGTGAGAATGGAGGAGGATGGAGGGGTTTTACTGTAAGGGAGGGAAACGGGCCAGGCTGGCACGGAAGGGTAGAGAGCAAGGATTTCTCTTCTTGGCCAGCATGTCTAGAGGCGGCAAGAGGGTGGATGTCCCTGGCCCTGGACCGTGGTCTCAGTGGGAGATGGACTATCCACTAAAGCAGCCAACCAGCTCGAGGTAGATGTCCTCATCTGGCCACTCCTGTTGCCTTGGGGACATGGAGGACAGGTTGTTGGTCCAGGGGACAATGGTGACGGTGGCACTTGGCAGCTGAGGAGAAGGGAGAGTCAAGGGAGAGGGGGCATGCTGGTACTGCTTAGGAATCGCTGAGGACCCCCTCTGGTCCATGGCGGTGCTGCAGTGTGAGCCAAATGTGTGGGTCACAGATCTTTAGACATGGGCGACAATGCAGGGGGTAGCATTGGAAAACTGAATGAACAAAGCAGTGAGGTATCATTGGGGGGGGTGTCAGTAGACCCAGAGTCAGATGAGGGGCCCTTGGATGACCCCTGAGAGGATGATGTGCTTCAGGCAATGGTTCAGGGCACAGGGGCCAGCCCAGGGTGCTGAATTAATCCAGGAGGGTGTTCTACCAGGTGGCCAGTGTCCCAGCTGTGGGAGTGATCAGGAGAACAGAAGCAGGAGTGAAGATGGGGCAGGGAGAGGAAGGGATCATATTGTCATATGGTTTGTTTCTCCTGAATTATTTCAAAGTGGTTCTTGGTCATCATTTTCTTACTGCTTTCAAACCTAACTAAATTATCATCTATACAGTTTGCATGATCCTGATTCTGAGCAATTGAGGTTACCCCTTTGGCTTAGTGTGGACAATTCTGAGAAATGTTCCTGTGTTTAAAAACATCTATTCGCTCTGGTTCTGAGTTGCTGGATGAGAAGCACAAAGCATGGACTGTACCTCCTGTTGTCCCATCACCCCAAGGTTCAGGGCTACATCATGAGGAATGTTCTAGATCAAGAATTACACCTGAATTTCTCTTCCTGTCCTTTCAGTTGCAACTTTTACATACCCTGGAGTTAAAGTCTTTTAACTTTTAACAGTATGGGGTAGAGTTAAAAGAAAAAAATTTCATAACTGTCATGATTATTCATATATGTTTATGTGAATGCTTAATATTTGAGATTCTACCCTCTTATTTGCATCACTTTGCTGCTTTTTCTAACCTTCCCTTTTTGCATTTATTTTGTTCTGTTTTTTATTCCATTCTCTACACCTGGTAGTGTTAACATAAGTACCTAATACAGCCTAAGGGTAATCCTCACCTTCTTGCAAAATGCAAATCCCCCAATCCTGTTTCAATATTTAATACTTCAGTTCTAATTTTTTTTTGTTCCAAATTAGGCATTTAAAATGTTTACCCAGTTATATGTCACTTCCTCTGCTGATCTGCCTCTTGAGAGAGCTTTCCTGTTTTCTGAAATATAACTTTATTTTTCATTCCTGTGGGTGTCCTTTCTCTTAATTGTTTTTAAAATTGTGTACAAAATTCTTGGTTGCTTGTTACTTTAATTCATTACTTGAGGTGATACTTTATTTTACTCTACGGTCATCTAGTGTCCCTTGATGCCATTAGTCTGTCATTATTTAGTAGGTCATCTCTTCTTTTCTGTGACTGTTTTGCATTTTCACTATGACGTATTTGGGGCATAGATGCCTTTTTATTCACACTTTATGACTGATATCTTGTCACTTCCGGGAAAATTCTCAGCACATTTCTTCTCATATTGTCTGTCCCCAACTGTCTCCTATTAGAACTCAGACCAGGTCATTCTTAGAATTCTAGCTGCCAGTTTCCATCTGTTGTGCTGCATTCTGGGTAATTTCTTCTCAGCTTTCAAATTACTGATTCTCTCTTCAGCTGTATCTAATCAGGTGAGCCTTAACAGCTGCAGTAGGTTGAATGGTGTTCCCTGAAAAGAGAGGTCCATGACCTAATCTCTGGAACCTGTGAATGTGACTTTATTTGGAAAAAAAAGGTCTCTGCAGATATAATCAAGTGAAGGAATTGAAGCCAGAAAAGCCAGAGAGAAGGCCATGTGAAGACGGAGGCAGAGATTGGAATGATGTAGTCACAAGCCAAAGAATACCCAGAGCCCCAGAAACTGGAAGAGGCAGAAGGGTCCTTCCCTACAGCCTTCAGAAGGAGTGTGGCCCTGCTGACACTCCTGTTAAGTCTATGGTACTTTGTTACAGACAGCAGCCCCAGGAAAGCAAGAGAACATCCAATGCCGTTTTTGACAGTCTCTCATGCCTTTTAAGCAAACTTTTTATTTTAGAATAATTTTAGATTTGCAGAAACATTGCAAAGATAGTATAGAGCGCTCCAGTGCAGCCCGCACCAGCTTCCCGAATGGTAACATCTTATGTCTCCACAGTACATTTGTCACCACTAAGAAACCAATGCTGGGGTACTGCTATGAACCAAACTGCAGACTTTATTTGGATTTCCCCAATTTTTCCACGGCTGTCCTTTTACTGGTCCAGGATCCCGCACTGCATTCGGTCCTCTGATGTGAAACAGGTCCTCAATCTCCTTGTATTCCATGACCTGGTGGTTTTGAGGTGTCCTGACCACCCCCATTTTTATACCCAACTGTACTAACTCTAGCTATCCATGGGGAATCAAGTCCTGCTAGTGGTGCCCATGGGGTTGAACATGGCAGCATGTCCCCTCGCACGCCCTGTCACTTCTGTGCAGAGTTCATGTTCTGCCATCCTAGTGGGAATGCTGGTAGGGCGTCAGACCCCCAACTCCCATTCTGGCTGGATATTCTTAGGGAAATAGAGTAGAGAACGGCACCCGGTAGGGCTGGGGGTATGGCCTTGGGCTCTGCATTTATAAGGACTATCCGCCAAGAGTTCACTGTTCTACAGCAGGAAGAGCTTTCAGATTTTTAGATCCGACCAGGCAGATGTCTCCTCTCCTCTATCCCTGGAGTCCTCTGAGCCACCGCTGCTCCTGGACACCTCTGAAGGTCAGTTGTCCTCGTTGAGACCTCACTGATCTTTCTTCAGAATTCCTGACTCTAGTTCCCCGGACATCGATGATCAAACATCCCCCAGACCAGACTCCTAGACGCCCCCTCCGCCGGCATGCATCTGCCCGACTCCCGTTTCGTTAAATGGCAGCTCAAGCCAGAAGTCTTGGGTCATCTTTGATTCTTTTATTTTAGCTTTACCTACATCCAAAGCAAGTCTGGTTGGTTCTACAACAGAGTTGGGAACTGACCACTGGTGACCTCACCTGCTGCCCAGCCCTCTTGTGTCTTGATCCCCGTTCACCTGCCTGACCCTTCCCCACCCTGGGTGCTGTGGTGCCGTGTTGGTGCAAAGAGCTTCTCCGTTCTGGCAATGCCCCAGTTCTCTGCTCCTCTTCTTCCATCTTTACGGAGATTTTTCAATCTCTGTTCCCATCATCCTCCTTGCCGCCCATCCTGACCCACCTCATCGAGATCTGAGCCCACTGCTTCCCCACGATCACCCCCCAGAGGCCAAAGCAGAGGTCCACTTGATCAGCACCCTGACCGCCCACTTGCTCAAACACGTCACATTGCCTCTGGGCACTGCACACCCTGGACCCTGCTGGTCATCCAAACCTGCCTCCAGTCACTCCTGGGCCCCTTCAGGCCAGGGGCTTCAGAAACCATCTGGCTCACATCCCAGGGCTGGTGAGTCCCAGAGACCCTGCCTCCGGGATGCCCAGTGAGGCCCCTTTTCCTCTCCTTCCCTAGGACTCTCACTTGGGCCAGACTGGGTCTGAACCCCCAGCCTCATCTCCTGCTTGAGTGGCCAGTGGGCCAGGGAGCATCAGCATGGACAGAGTGTGTGCTTTCTGGGCCTCCCGTGTCACCCCCTTATTCTCACCTCCACTGCCACTCACTTAGAGGTTACCCTCTGGCCTGGCCAATGACTGCTGCTCACCACCCATGGGGGCCCTTGCTCATCTGCTCTGGACATGCCAGCCAGTTGGCTTGTCCCTCACTGCTCCACTGATGACACCCTGCTTCTTGTCTCTTACCGCTCTCCCCCACCCTGATCTCTCTGCTCTCTACCCGCTCCCCATTGTCTGCCTTACATCATCTAATTCTGTCTCTACATCATCCACACCTTTACTGCAGTCTCTGTTTTGGACGTAGGCTCCAGGGGCAGCATCCGCTATGGCCTCATTTGTTCATGTGTCTCCAGGGCCCGCCTACAGAGCACGCTCAGACTGACAGACGTGGCTAAAGGAAGAACCCGGGGCGGCGGCCCCTCCACACTCACTCAGCTTTGCTGGGCTTGGGGCTCGGGGCCTCTGCTGCGTCGTATTCTCGCACATCCTTCAGCTCACGCACCTGGCCCGTCAGCACCTTGGCAGCAAAAGCCACGATGTACTGTGGGAGGGGAAGGCACAGGTGAGAAAAGAGCCTTACCCCACCATGCTGTCCTTCTGATGGCCATGCGCTCCTGACACTGGCCATTTGCATGAGTGGTTCTCATTGCCTAACATGCCCCTTCCTGGACACGCCTGAGAAGGGCCTGCACCTGGACCACTGCCCAGGGATGAGGACTAGGATGGGACTGCTGGCTGAGGAAGTGGGTGGGTAAGGAGCTGTGGGTGGCAGACTCACCAGGAACCAGTAAAGGTTCATGAGAGTGAGAAGCAGTAGGAGTGTGTTGAAGAAGAAGTAGAAGGGAATGTCAGGCACCGAGCGCAGGCTGCAGTGGCATGTGGCATACAGGACCTTGAGCGGGAACCAGTAGAGGCGGAACCAGAACCTGTTGGGGGAGGGTGAGAAACAGGTCGGGAGGCTGTGGGCAAGAAGGAGGGTGGCCCCACCTGACCCCTGTCCTGTCCCATCTGGTTTCATCTATCTGTTCCTGCTCATTCCCACCCATCCTTATCCCTTTGCCCCACCCCTGCCTGCTCCTGCCCATCTCCATTCCCGCTGTCCTTTCCTGCCCAACCATGCTCCTTCCCCACTTCATTCAGCTCCTCCCCTTCCCTGTCAGGCTACACCCCTTTCATGAGCCTCACCTTCTTTCCTGCCTGGCCCTACCCCTTCCTTCCCACAAGGCCTGCCTACTTCCCTGATTGGCCCTTCCCTTGCCACCAGGCCTGCCTTCTTTCCTGCATAACCCTGCCTGCCCTCACCTAGCACCCCTACCAGGCCCACACCTCTCCTGCCTGGCCTCGCCCCGCCCCGCCCCTTCCCACAAGCCCCTCTCTTTCCCATGGGCCCTGCCAGCTCACCAGCTGAGGCTGAAGCTGAGGCAGCCCAGGTCTGCAGCCAGGGCATGCAATGGATGGTGGGACCCTCCGCGGGACTTGAAGTAGACATTGAGCTTGGTGAACTCCAGCTGCACATCACTGATGTCATGCAGGAAAAGCACCAGAATGCCCACATTGTGGTACCTAGGGAAGAAAGTGGGGCAGGACAGGGGAGAGGGCGGGTCATATTGGGGATCCCCCTGCACTGAGGCCCCAAGATAGGCCCCTGGTCCTCACCTTCCCATAGATCCTCCAGAGCCACTCTTCTTGGCCCATCTGCCCTGTTTACCCTCCCAACAGGTCAGGTCTGTGGCAGCATAGGCCGTATTCATTCAGGGGCAGCCCACCTGCCTCACTGTCCCCAGGTGGCCCAGGAGCCTCCCTGAAAGTTCCCTCTTTAGTCCTTCCTCATCTCCATGATCTCTGACCCTAAACAACCCCTGACCCTCACAGCCCTGGGCCATTCTGTATCCAGATCCCCCACAAGTTTGCTGACACTCCCAGGTTTACACGATTCATCTAAACTTCACTGCGAGCTGCAGATGACTGGGAAAGGCTGTGTCCCCACTAGAATCTACAGAAGCCCGAAAGCCAGTCCCCTGTCCCTTCCCAGTGTTCCCCTTATAGCTGCTTGGGCCAAGGGGCCTGAATTCAGCCTAGGTGGGGCTGTGGATTTCACCATGTCTTCCCCCACTTGGCCCTCCTGCCCCAGGCCCTTCCATGTGCTGTTCCCAGAGCCTGACACGCACCTCCCTGGGAGTCACGGAGCTCTCCTTCACCTCCTTTCAGTCCTTGCTCGCCTGTCACCCCAGTCCACCCCTCCCAAACCTCACTACCCCTGCAGTCCTTATCTTCCCACTTGATTTTTCTCCATAATTATCACCTTCAAACAGATTATTTTCTTTTTCTTTTTTTTTGGGTGGTGGTGGTGGTATCATGATTCTACTCTCTAGATCAGTGCTAATACAATTTTCTAGAATGGCAGAAATGGTTTAAACCTGCATTGTCCAATATGGGAGCCACCAGCCACATATGGCTGCTGAGTAGCTAAACTATGGCTGCTGTGGCTGAGGAACAGAATGTATGATTTTATTTATGTTTAATTAAAGTTGAAGTAGACACCTGTGGCCAGCGCTGTACTGGAGGGTGCAGCTATGGCAGCTAGTTCAATAAGAACAGAATGTGAATGTATATGTCATTTTAGATTTTCTATCAGCCACGTTAAAAAAAAAAGCAGAGAGTAGTTAAAATTAATTTTGATAATGCATTCTAATTAACTCAGTACATCCAAAATATTGCCATTTCAACATGTAATGGGTGTAAGAAGGGCACTGACAAGATATCTTCACTCTTTTGCCTTTGTAACTGGGATGGCTTTTATACAATGAGCAGGCTGTGGTTTGGTGAAGTGGCCCCATGCAGGCTCTAAAATGCCAGTGCTTGTCCGTTGTGTTGTTGATGGCCTCCCCCCCAGCAGAACCCACCATACAGCAGGTGCTCAGGAAGCACTTCTATGTGACCTGATCTGGGGTGCCATCCGGGTGGGGTTGGAGTGGGATGGGGTGGGGGCTCCCTACATATGTTTCGCCCCACCCTTCTGGAATCTCTCTGGACCCTCCCCCATGGAAGCCCCCATGCTCCCAACCCCAAGACGTGGGCCTCTGCCCCGTGCCAGCCTCCCACTCCTACTCGTGCGGCCACCCTCTGGGACTCACCGGAAGGCATAGGAAGAGACGATGAGGACCAGGGTGACCACGTGGTGGACGAGCATGACCACTGAGTCCTTGCGCCAGGCGTCCATGTACAGCGTGGCGTAGATGGAATGGCCATAGAAGCTTCCCTGCAGCAGGTAGGCGGCCGCAATGTCCCGTGGCACCTCCATGCCCGGTGTCCAGTCTGGGGAGAGCCCGACCGCGCCATCAGGGGCCTGCAGAGCCTGCAAGACCCTCAAGCTGGGCATGCATCTTCCCCATGCTGGGGCAGGCCAAGTCTCTGCAGGTGTCCTGGCCACTGGTTTTCCACCTCGATGGAAAACCCATTATTTTTTATGATTAGTTATTATCTTCTAGAACATTTTTAGATTTATAGAAAAGAAGTGCTCCTACTCCTGAAATCTGTCCCTTGCAGCATTTCTAGCTCTGCCTTGGCTGCCCTTTCCATTCTCTCTCAAGCCAGCTGGGATGCTTCTGTCCCGGGTACCCCCTCCCCAGCAAACCCCCAACCAGATGGGAGGCCACCGCCCGCGATGTGGTGCCAGCAGAGCAGCTGAGGCAGAGATCACACACCCGCCAGTGCTGAGGAGTTCGGGGTCTTCCCAGGTGGGCCCTGGCTCCCCTCTTCCTCCGCCTGCACTTGTGTCCACCCTCACTCAGTCCCCGCCCCTTCCGGCTGACACTGACCCCCCAGCTCTCCCCACCACTTCTCTCTTCTACCCATTACCAGGGTCAAGGGCTCTGCCTGTTGGCCTGGAACTCTCTGGATTGTACCCTGCTTACTGGCTACTCCTTCTCTGTCCCACCCCTGCCTCGGTGACCTAGAGCAGACCCTCATGCCCTGCTGGGCCCTGCTGTTTCTAGACACCTCCTATGCCCCTGGCTCATCTATGCTCTGGCCTCTCCTGCAACCGAGATCCACTCGGACCCCCACCAGGGGGCCCCTCTTTGGTCTGTATCTCTGCTCACTTCCCTGGCCCCTGCTGCCCCCATCCTGGTCCAGACACCACTGTCCCCCCTCGGCACTACCCTAGCTCCTCCTGGCCTCTGAGTGTGTTCCCAGCTGTCCACTTTCCCCATGGTGGCCTAGATGGCTGTGAGTACACAGACTCCATGACCTAGCAATTCCACGCCTAGGTGTGAGCCCCAAGGGAACTGAAAACAGGGACTCAAACGGGTGAGGGAAAAACAAAATGTAGTCCATCTACACAATGGAATATTACTGAGCCTCGAAAACATAATACTGAGTGAATGAAGCCAGATACAAATGGTCACATGAACTTTTACCTTCTTAACCACCTTTCAATTCAGTAGCATTAGGTATGTTCACACTGTCGTGTGACCACCCCCACTTTCCATCTCTAGAACTCATGTTGTAGAACTGAAACTTGCTCCCCAATCCCCTTCACCCAGACCTTGGTAACCTCCATTCTATTTTTAGTCTTTATAAATCCGACTCCTCTACGGACCTCCTATAAGTGGCCTTACAGTATTTACCTTTTTGTAACTGGCTAAAATGGTTATGTTAAGAATATTTTAGTAAAAAAAAAAAAAAAAATGCAAAACTCCCCACGGATCAGATCTCATCTTCCCCCACTTTAACATGTCCAGGGGCCCCCCAAAGTTCGACAGCAAAACCCACACTTCCAGCTGGGCTCTCCCCTAAGTTCTATTCTCAGCTGCATGAGAATGCTGCAGCTGAGGGAGCCCCTTCCCCACCACACATACCTGCCAGGTGCCTCTGTCCCTCTTTAGAATGAAGGCATGCAGTGTCTGCTGTAGAAACAGGACACCAAATTTTCCACCCAGTGGGTGAGCATCTCCCCTCCAGCTAAGGGCTCCAGATCTGGGGCTGGGGAGTGAGGAGGACCTATAATTCACTATCCATACTTCATCTGCCCCTCCCTACACACTGGGGGGCTGGGCTCTGTCCATGGACCTCCAGCCTTCTCTCCACACACAGGCCACCTGCTGCTCTGGATGCTCCATATCACCCCATCCCTCTCCTGCCTCGCCCCGCTACCACACCTCCAGTATCAGGCCCCTGGGCTTCTCCTGGTCTCCCCGAGACCAACCCCTCCTGGCCCATCTCACTGAGGGGCCCCAGACCCTGGTGTCACCCCACTCTCCTCTTACACTAACTTTTGGTTTAGCGGCAAATCCTATCAGCTCTGCCTTTTAAACATTTCTCAAATCAGTGACTTCTCTCCTCTGCTTGGCCCTGTCCTGGTTGGAGCCCCCACATGTACACTTCCTGCCCTCAGCCCCGTCCTCTGCTCACAGCCCACTACCCCTCCCCCCC